TCACTCTCTTATTCTCTCCTAAAGTCTTGTATTGTCAGACACATTAGATATGGATACCATTATTGCTCTGTGACAGCTTAAGTTAGCAGAATTATAATTATAAGGAGAGGAAAATAATATGAATTTCTGAATGTGTTAGATATAGGGATAATATTTCCCATCATTTTGAAATGCAAATAACTTACTTCCCCTAGGTCATAATCAAGCTGAATGGTTCCCATATGTTATCATTAGAATTCACTATAAATAAATTTAGAGATAACAATCTCTTACTAGAGGTGGGGATGGCAAGCTATCTTGTAGATACTGATTGGTCTGTATACCGAAGTGAATATAACAAAGTTCTTGGTGGCACCTCTGTTCCTCTTGAAAGTAGCTTCTAAATCATATTGGAACATCTTGAATACAAGTTGGCTGTTTTCTTCATGTATGTACTGATTGATTGGAAGGGATTAATAACAAAATAGTGATACTTTTTAGCTGTGTAAAATTTCTGGTTACATATATGAAGTGCAGTAGACCCATGATTTACACGAGTATTGCATTCCAGGGGAATTTCACGTAAGTCAAATTCACAGAGGTCAGGATGACTTTCCCCATAGGAAATAATAGAATAGTGAGGGGTTGTGTACCCCAGACGTACCATAGTCATAGCTTTTATTCCCCTTTTCTCAGTGCAATTGCCTTTGGGAGGCGCGTCTAGCGTCTCACCTATGTATCTTGAGATGCTGCTACCACAATGGTGGCACAATGGCGGCACAGCTCTGCTTGATTCTGCCTGCAAATCTTGTGAGGCATTCTTGTATATATGCGAATCTTGTGACTGTTTGTATATATACGCGAAAGATGCACCTCTTGAGGGGCATTTTCCAGTCCAGGCCCTAATATAAAAATCACGTAAACGCGAGACGCGTAAGTTGGAATCGCGTAAATTGGGGGTCTGCTGTACACTAATTAGAAAAAACCTTCCCGTAATTAACATTTCAGTGCACAATATCAGTTCTCAAGACCAGAGCTTTCAATGTGGTAGTTGAAATCCTTTAGTAGTTGATAGATCATTTTTCTCATTCAAGTGATATAGAACAGGAATTGCAGCTGTTTTCTGTTCTTTTACTTTTTTCATTTAAATCCTTATTGCATGTATCTGTGGCACATTAAGATTTCCACTAAGCAAGAAGAGACTGAGAGTGAAGAGGTTACCAGGGCAGTGAGAGTACAATGTATGCCATGGAATCCTGGTCTGGAGTATGTTAGCCCCATTTGAGACCAGACTAGTTTAGGGAGATGTATCCATGGTGGAGAGTAGACGACTTGTGAGAAAAGCTCCACAATCCTGAATGCATTCCATCTTTTCTCACAACAGTGTGTCCCTGCCTGTGCCCCTTTAAAAGAATAAGATTTTGTCCCTGGCATTAAGTGTCTAGTAGACAAGGGTACCTGTGGAGCGCACAGAGCCCCCTTAGCCCTAGGTGCAGCATATCAGGCAGTTGCAGCATCACTAGGCACTTCCTCCCTGGAGGCTCCTTCCCCTCTGGCTGCTAGCGGGGAGCTGCATTCCCTAGTTCCAGCCTGGGGTTTTTAAGGGCACAGGGCCCTGCCCCTTCTGGTCAGTTGGCCAGGTGTAGGTGCAGGCTAATTTGCTCTCTAGCCTGTTGCCCTGGTAACCTGCACCTTTGGGCTCTTTCCCCAGACAGTTTCTGCTCTTCTAGGAGCAGGCACCTTAGTGCCCTGCGACACCATTGCAGATTCTAAGCTGGCATGTGGCTGGGGCAACTTGTATATGGAAAGCCACCCACTTGCTCAGTTTTCTCTTCCCTACTCCTCTTGCAGTATTTTTTTATGTTGTTGCTTAGAGCTGTTTAACTGGCAACCTGTAGGCTGCTTGCAGCCCACAAGGGGTTAAATTGTGGCCCTTAGGCCTGGCCACCATGCCCGCCACCCCCCAACTCTTATTGCTCTGGCTCTAACAGCAGCCAATGTCTCTGGGATCGCTGTCCCTCCTGTGTATTCTGCTTTCTCTGCCTGCCCCAGGGGGCTATGTGTAGCATGTGGAGATGAGGGTGGCACTGGGGCCTTATGGGTGTGATATAGCAGTGCTGGTACCTATGTCAGCTACATGATGTGGGCCTATGATGAGCCTGTGTGGCATGTGGCCCCCAGCAGTTTAGAAGATGAACAGCCTTGTTTGTAGCTCTTGTGAAATTTATAAGCGCCCTTGCATGTCACATTTATAAGTGGTGTATGTAGTAGATTGTTCTGGTGCCACTGGACATTACATGTTCAATAAGTGTTATTGTAATGTAGGACATTTTTCTTCTGTGAGTAGAGCAGCTAAAGGTGGTTGGTTTAAGGTGTGATTTAGGAAATTATTCTTATTAAGGAAAGCACTGGAGCACATGTTTAAGTTCTGTTGAAGTTAGTGACGGAAGTCTGTGTTTAAAGTTAAATATGTGCCTACTTGCTTTCCTTAACTGGGGCATTATCCCATTCACCTTTAGCTATTCTACTTTTAAAGTTTTAAAACTCTACTGTAATAATACATGTGACATTCAAAGTCATTGGGATTTATGCATGTGCCCATTTGTTTCCCTGAATAGAGATTGCATAGACGAACAGATTTACATGCTTTTTCCTGTGTCAGACCCTATCAACGTAATATATTAATAACTTAAATAAATTGATTTTTGGTGTTTAGATTATTATGTAAATGTCGGGAAACAGCGGCCCCAAGGTCACGGTGGGCCGAGGGCTCGGATCAGATCGAACAGGCAGGATTAGCGGCGAGGAGTCTGAGTGGTACGGGACTCGGTGCGGTTTCAAGTAAAGTTGATTTATTTTTGACTTACACTACTGGAGAAGCTTGCTTCAGTTACAGTATATGAACAATGAAGGGGTCTGTTGGTCCAGGGGGTTCCCGAGTGAGCCCTTGCTTTCTACCCCAAAGGATAGGTGCGGCTACCCACTCGATAGTCCCAGGACTGGTCAACAGCTTATTGATTGGGATGACAAACAACGGAACTGTAACACGGTGAACGATGTAAACGAAGTGACGCCAGTCCAAAGTGGACGAACAGATGGTCGAAAACGGTGCTGAGGTCGATTGTAAGCGATGTCGAAGCAGAGGCAGACTGGGTTGACCAAAATCGCAGTCAGGGCCGGTGCCAAAAATCAGTCGGTAGCCAAAGGAATCAATATGAAAACGAATCGGATCGATCTGCAAAACCACAGTGAGGAGGAGATCAATGGGCCAGGAAGCCCTGCTGAGGAGCAGTCCCTGTGGGAACAGCCTCTGCTCTCAGCTTGGATCTCTCCCAGCGAGACAGTCCCTGCCAAGGCAGCCTCTGTTCGCCAGTCGAGCGGGTCTCTCCCCCCGGGTGAGGGGCTCACAAGTCTTTTAAGGCAACCAGGTAGCCAATCAGGTTGCTTTGTTCTTAGAAATTTCTAGTCTAATTACATCATGCTCTTCAGAGTTGAGCATGTTCACAGTTACTGACAAGCCAGATAGTTGGCCGATTTGAGCATGCGTGTTGTTACAAAACTAGGTCAGTTGTGATTGACAAGCCAATAGGTCGTATAGGGGGCACATGCTGGGCATGCTGTGGAATTTTCCACAGGCCTCGTCTGCTTGTTTGCGCATGATCAAACTTAACTCTTGTGTTACCAGCATACACTTAAAATTTGTCTGGACATGCCCCCTTGCTGGTAACACAGGAGTTCTAATTTAGTCTTCGTTTTC